GAAGATTACCTTGGTCCCTTGGCATTGGAAGATTGATTTTTAAACAGAAGACTAACTTGATCCCTTGGCATTGGAAGATTGATTTTTAAACAGAAGACTACCTTGGTCCCTTGGCATTCAGACTGATTTTTAAACAGAAGCCTACCTTGGCATTGGAAGATTGATTTTTAAACAGAAGCCTATCTTGGTCCCTTGGCAATAGCAGACTGATTTTTAAACAGAAGACTACCTTGGTCCCATGGCATTGGAAGATTGATTTTTAAACAGAAGCCTATCTTGGTCCCTTGGCAATAGCAGACTGATTTTTAAACAGAAGCATACCTTGGTTTCTTGGCAATAGAAGACTGATTTTTAAACAAAAACCTACCTTGGTCCCTTGGCAACAGATAACTGATTTTTAAACAAAGCCCACCTTGGTTCCTATAAGGTCACCATCTTTCAAAAAAAAGGGTGCAAGCCGTAGATGAATTTTCTTATTTCCCCATCTCATTGGTGATCTACTTTTGTGCTACAACAAAAATATTTCCAAAATATATTCATAGTTTGCAACATACCAATCTTACTAAATAATTAAAAAAAACACATTTTACCCGAAGATAAACTTAATTTAAAAACATCTCAAAATGACCAACCTGATAAATAATAATTCAACACTCATTAACAAGGTTATTTAGTTTACTGCAATACAACTCACTCAAAATAAAAAAAACTTCTCAGTTAACCCACATAACAATTTACCTCATTCTAATCTGTCTATACAATTATCGTGCTCTATGCTATTTTCTTTTTATTCATCTAGATCTTTCAGGTGCTGTAGCTATTTATAGCTTATTTTACAGGGCCTTCCTTAATTCTTGCAGATTATAGAATTTTCCTAGTTTAAAATCATAGTTGTAATTTCTTTTAGAGTACAGTACATTGGACTACATAACTCCCAAGATTTAATTGCATAAAAATTCAGTTGTATTATCTCTTGTTGTTCAAACTACCTATCCAAAAGGATCGAATTAAACCTAACAATTAAAAAATTCATAGCCAATTTGTTTAGATAACAAAAGCTATATCTTGCTTTTTTTACAGGGTTCTAGTTTGAAACTAGATCAAAACTAAAATCAAATTTATTTTGCTGTTCTATATAGATTAAGGTTTAGTATATGTTGTTAAAGTTTATTTCATTTAATTTTGTAATTAATTATCTTGACAATATTCTAATAGAACTAATGATGATTTTCTCAGTGTAGTGTGATTTTCATTGCTTCTTCAGCTTTTGGTATTCAGAACTGTAACATCTAAAGGTTTTATGTGCATGTTTCAAAATTCTCTTGATTTTGAAGTCTTAATCAGCACTAGGTATTACAGTTAAAAGATTGAACACCAATCAATGCGTATGCTTGAGAGATGAACTGATAACTTTTTTTTAAGACCAAGACTTCCAGTAAAGAAAGCATTTTTAAGCTTCAAGTTCCAATGTTAAGTTTAACAGTTTCATTTTACTAATATGTGATCAATAGATTTATTTAGTTTTTCTCCACTACATGGCAATGGGAAGTGTATATTGTGTAAACGGAAATGGGTTCAGAATCATAGGAGGCTAAATAATCACCCAATATGCTCCTATCCTGAATGATAAGCTACAAACTAGACTTGTATAGCTGCTGTATTGCTTATGGAGTAGAAAAATCTTTGCTAATTTAGTAGCATTCAATATGTTGATGTCTAAAAGCAGGCAATAAAGTAGAGAAAAACTGTGTCCACTGAAAATATTTTATATTTAGTTTTACAACTCAAAAGAACAATAAATAATAAACATTCAATAAATGTTGAGTACTCTTTTTCCTCTACAGTGACCAATCCAGGCAGAAGAAACAACATGTTTTAATAAAATGCACACAAAACAATTTATGTTACAAATTGGAATCTTCCATATTAAAAAGAGAGAGAGAGAGAAGCATTCAACCACATGCTCAGATAGTGGGGTAGCAATTAAAAGGTACTTTGTCTCCCAACCAGTCAAGTGCCTCCACAAGATGGGTTGGTACAAGAAGGTTTCAAGCAACATTAACTTGAAATACATGCAGAGATTTGGTCTGGTATTAAAGTAGCATATCAATTCAGAAGTTCTTGTTTCATATTGCTATAATTGGTTATGAGGATAATCATAGTGAGAATGAGATGGTGTTACAGCTAAATCTTCAGATTTTTAAATTTTCAACAAGAATAGAAGACCAGTTTCCCTTTACTTATTTCCATGCTACCTTTCGTCTAATGCTTATTGCAGGTAGACAATATTATAATAACAATACTGAGGTCCAATTGGGCTACTTATTTACAAATGAGGGGGTAAAAGAGGTAAGGAATTACAGTAATTACTCAGTAAAAAAACTGAAAAAAGCAAGTTCTGCCACGATAATGTTGGTGTTTAATGAATAAAATTAACAATTCATTAATATGGGCCAGGAATTAAAGCGACTTATCAGTGGAAGACTTTAAAAGTTAAACCCTACGATGAGTTTACATTAGTGATTAAAGAACTAAATACAGCAACTCGTACCAGTGGGAAAGTTTAGAAAGTAAATGCAGCAATGTATTGATGCTTATAAAGTCAAGTACAGTCTCTACGGAAACTTATCGGTAGAAAACATTGGTAACGAAACAATGCAATCAACTTAAAAGAAAAAAATTACCCTCCTATTTCATAGTCACAAGAATGAAAAAAAAATTTACAACTCACATGGTTGGTGTGTTCACTAATAATAAGCCACTCAAACTTTTCTTTAAAATGTTTTGCCATAACAAGTCTATCTGATGGAATTCCCAGCTTTTAGAGAAAGAGACTGGCGGAGATGCTGAAATGTTGCAGATTTTCCTGCAGCCCACAACATCTCCACAGGAGGAGTGTAGCATCGAGTGTCAGGAATACTTTGGCATATGTTTAACAGAATATCATGCTGTCTGTTGAAGAACGATTAAAAGTACCAATGTGCTTTAGAAATAACAAATGACAGTAGAGTAATATTCATTGTTAAACAATTACATGATATTGAATAACTTCAGTGATTTATTTGTATTTCCATGATTAAATGCTAAAACATCTAACAGCCTTAAGGTACAAAATTAAACATGTGAACTACAAATACCACCAAGCAATAAAAATTATTTGTGGATTATATTTAAAGCAAATTTTCATTAGATCACAAGTATCATAAAACAATAAAGGCTTTTAGGTTAGTTCTTCATATATAACTGAAGTTTACTTAACCCCATAGTTTCAAACTCTTTTATATCAGGTAGAATAACCAACTTTAGTCAAGAAGTCTGAAAACTTTTGTAATATCAATGTAGGTAAATAAAAGATACTGTGATAAATCGCATTCTTCTGAAAATTCAATACATTTGTATCTCGGTTGTGATTACTTAGGTTTTAGTACCTAGTTATGGAATATTAAACCAGTTATTTCACTGCACATCTAGTATCAAAATAATAAAACAAATAATTTAATGTCAGATACACTTTTGTTTTATTTTTGAAGTAAAATACAGTAAAACATGTGTTTTTAAACATACCATAAACTAAATTCATAAAATTGATAAAACAAAAATCTAGACACTCACAACAAATCTTCATCTTTTACAAGGAGTTGGAGACATAAATTCTGGTGATTAGTCAATTTTAGTTTCCTAGATATAAAAAAAAAATTGAGAAGAATGTACAATTTTAAAAACAAAAGCTTTTAAAGTAAGCTATGGCTCAAACATTGTAATGTATAATAACATTTGTGGTAAGGATGTTTTAAAAGGGACCGTGAACACATAAAAAAATATTTTCTCAAATCTAATAATTAAAGTGAAATTCTATCTAACTGTTATATGGGTCTTGATTAAACTGAAGCTGTTGAAACATTAATAGCCAACTAATATTCAATTTTTCTAAAAAAATAAAAACAAAAACTTTTTGTTTTAAAATTCACTTTCAAAATAAAGGATATGATAATTTGGTTTCATGAAAAAAAAATCTGAGTGAAGAAGGCCATATGTTATTACTAAGTGTAGACACGTATTTGTGTAATTTGCTTAGATGCCAGTATAAAGATTTTAAGACAGTGTTATGATATTTAGACATACCCAATGAAAGCTGTAAATACAAAGGTTTAAAATAATCTTTTTTTTTTCTGTGATCCTACATTTTTCATAAGATGAAAATTTAGGGAGGAGGTGAATATAGAACAAAGATTTTCCCTGGCAAAATTTCAACTCTTATGTTTCTGAAAGTAAATATTTAAATCATCTGACATGGCTGATGTTAATTATAATACCATTAATCCTCAACTGGCATACTTCAAACTGAGAAAAACCCTAATCTCCCTTTTTTCGTTATGCTCTTGTATCTTAATATCACACAGCACTTGAGTTAGAGCTTGTTACCCCATCAGAGAGGTTTATTAAAAGATGAGAAGAATTCTTTTATTCCTATTTCCTCGATACAGTAAGTAATGTATTTAATAATTCCTGCCTAATGTTTTAAATAGTCTTACTACAGTATGGTAACTTCAATACAAAATGGTAATACATATGCTAGGAAAGTTGTAATTCAGCACTGACTTTTGTCAATAAACCATCTCAATCTAAATTAAACGTTATTGAAGAAAATAAATAAATAAATATATATATATATATATATATTTGAATTACTGAATTTACCAAATTAACTATAAATACCATGACAAGTAAAACATAAAGACATATCTATAAAATCCCAAAAATTGAAAAATAAAATGCAATCTATTATAATAATACTCAGCTTTTGTCTGTTCTGAAAATGCATGTACACTTTACTGTCGAAATGCTCATGCACTTCATTTCAATGAATGCAAACAAAAGGCAGATGTCAATATACTTTAGTGAACATTTTGTACAACAACATATTAAAAGCTTAAAGTGTTTAAAAAGAATAACATTATAAGTCTATTTATTGACAGTATTAACTAAACTAAAGCAAAAGTAGTATACAAGTTACTGTGTTAATTTACCTCTATCGAATATAGACTGTACTTAATAAAAGCATAACTAGTGTTAGGCCTAAGGCAAGTGGACTTGTACATTTCAGTGTCTGTGATTAGAATTATTTTGTATTATTCCAGGAATCCTGTATTTAAAGAAGTGCTGTTGCAACAGATACTAATCTGACCACATATGTTTTGTGAATCTCGGCTAATAATTTTAAATGTGTGACAAGTCCACATAACCTTTACGTTTTTGATTACAGCCCACCACCTACTTCTAAGTAGTAACATATGTTTTCTTTTGGTAAATGAAATTAATTTTTTGTTTTTAAAAATAACTTAGAGCATTAACATTTGTGAGGTTTTTAGACAGTATTTTTTTATGACAAAAAGAATGGCAATACAACATAGAAACTATCTAACAGTTCCACTATCTCAATGAAAAGTTCATCCTCCAACGTTCTTCCTAAATGTGTTATCTTACTCTGTTGAAAATTACAGTGGTATCACAAACCATTTCTTCTAACCCAGGTATATTCCCATAGCAAATACACAATATTGTTAATGTACTCAGTATATATATATTCACTGAGTTGGGTGGTGGGGCCTCAGTCAGGATGCAGAATGTTCTAAGGGCTTTGTGCAGAGAAAGTTTGAAAAAACCCCTGTTCTAACCTACATTAATGTACTTCAAATGAACATCATCATCAAGTCCAAATGTTCAAATGTAAGATTTGGTAAAACTGTTATACTGAATTTGAAAGCATATGCAAATTTCATAATTCCCTTATGATTTCTACTTGTGCACAATAAATGAAACGAAATTGTACTAAATTAAAAAAAATTTTATTAATCGCAAATATTTCAGTTGTAACAAGTTGCTTACCGAAGTGTATTACTAAGGCCTCTTAAGACTTTTCCTGGAGAACCACCATCCAGATGTCTTAAGCGTAAGTAACGAATGTTTGGCAGAGATATAATATTAAGTGCTGGAAGAGTAAGGACCTGGCGTTTCAAGTCTGCAAGAGATGATTCAGCTGAAATTTCTACTTCTCCAAGTTTATATGGACCTGAAGTTGTGCCTATGATATTCCACATTTCTGTAAAGACAGAAATTGCATTGTTCTTATTAATCACTGGTAACTTATGAAGTCTTAAACAAAATGTATTTTCCATGATCTTTGTCTTCTTGTAACTATATATCTAATAATGAGTGAAATCTCTATTTCTATTCCACTGAATAAAGCATTACACTATCGTTTAGGTAAAAATAAATCTTGGGAAATGCTAGAAACTTCTTCAGTTCTTTTGACTTATTGTTTGAAAAACTGCAAACTTCAACAGCTTCAGATAATGATGCATGTTAGGCTTCTCAAAGTATTTAATATAAAGTATTTAGTATAACAAAATTTACCTTACAGAAATAATGCAAAATTTTTCCACTTATATTTTTAGAACAGTGTATGTTTAGATAAAGAATTAATTACAATATTTCTACAATGTTTATGATAGCAAAACAATTCGCTCTAAAAAAATACTTGTAATTCCAGTTATTTTAAAACTTCTACAAAACACAACTCAAATACACCCCATCTTTTACAGAATAGTTAAATAAAGAATTAACCTTTTATTGTACTTGATAAGTCTCCAAGTTTATTTTCTTGTTCCTCAATACTTTCTGGTGTTTTGTGTAGCCATATGGCAAGAGTTAAATACCCATGAGGGGGAAGTCGGCCCTCTTGTAATAAAAGAAAGTCCCCATGCTGTAAACCTTCTTCTTCAACAGTTGTGTCTTCATCATGCAAGGGTTCCATAGATTCACCACACCAATTAGTTCGGCAAATATGCCATCCATCTCCTGGAAACATAAAACATCTTAAAAATAACATAAAAACATAAAACTTGTATCAATTGAATAATGAAGTAAAACCAATATATTGCAAGATACACTACACATCCACACACGACTAGATTGTTCATGAAATTCTCCTATCTCTGTACAAGTTTTATTGGAAGGTGTAGATATTATACATGGCCAACAAAAATATTAGTATTTATCTAGAATTAAACGAATCTTTGTTAAAGTATTGTCACTGCATCATACTCAGTCTATAAGTTGTTTATCTTTGTCCATAATTTCATATTTACTCATTACAAGTTCAAAAAATATTCCAACAATTTTACCAGGGCATCTACTCAAATTTCCAGAACTCTTGAATATTGCCGCACAAGAATAAACTGGAATTTTTATTCATCAAATGCAACAGCAGCCAATATAAACAAATATGATTTCAATAACTAATTAAACAAATTTTTTAATTAAGCTGATTATTTCATGGTAATTTTTCTAAATTACTGAAACTTGAGGTTCAGGAAAATGACTTAAAAACGAATTATTTTCCAAGACTTGTGTATACTGGTAATTATCTTTCAGCTGATGGAAGTTCTTTAACTCTTTGGTTACCAGAAGGCATTTAGTGTTTATTCTTTTATTATTATTCTTTTTTCTTTATTTGCCTGTGTTCATTGAAGTACACAACTAAGTGACAATTCCATTTTGGTTAATGTAATTGTCATTAAATTTATGTTTTGTTCCATTTATATTTCATTTATAAAACCTTATTCAGGTGTTTAAACATAATATACAACTTGGGGCTAGGATAACTTTTTTTTTTAACTGGCTAGCATTGAATATTTTTTTATAGACCAATTAAGAGTTAATGTTCACATTCAATAATTCTTTTTTTTTATCTAGCTGGATGACTCATAACCCTCTAATTAGCATAGGCTCATACAGAAGTGTTCACAATCTATGATAGCTATTACAGAATGAGTGCTGAGGCCTTTTAGCACATTCTTCCACCACCGATTGTGTTCTATGTTATGGCCACGGTTAAAGACTATTGCTCTGCAGTGTAGTTTCCACTGAAGAAAGCTTTCGGAAAACACAATGAGATCAATGTTGTCCCACTTCTCTTTACATGCTTTCCAAAGTATATCAACTGTGAGTGGATGACGACTTCTGAGGGTGCATTTGAGTAACCCCAAGGCACAGAAGTCCATGGGAACTGCATCTGACGATTTAACCCTCTCCAGATGAGTAATGGGTGAAAGCCATGTCATCGCACTTGTTGACTCGCATTCAAAATTATATTGAACTACTATTTCATGAATTTTGTCAATAAGTTTGGTACCAAACCATAGATTATAATTCAAATTGTAGTGTTTCTACATTATTCAAGTTCTTAATTTAAAAGTAAATATAAATAAAAACTTAAACATCGATTTTTGGTGTCAAGTGTTATGTTGAATGCAACACTGATTCAAATTAGATGTTTGTGATGTCAAAATTCTAAGTCTATAGTTTCGTATGAATTAGTAACTTAAATTACCAATATTGACAAGCTAGAATATAAAATAAGAAGATTATATATTTTGTATTTGGTGGGATATCAGTCATGTACTGAATCAAACTCAGCAGCCTCGGTCACCTCTTTCCATTTTTGGAAATGGTCCCTTATATACACTTACTTCAACATATGACATGTAAATAACCAATTAATATCTCAGAATGTCCCCCTAGTGGCTTTCTCAGCCATTTTCATGTGTTAGGATGACATCTCATTCTTTCAAACCAAAAAAATATGAAATTTTGAGCAGACTAAAGACACAACCTACCTCCTTGAAATCTTAAACCCAAATACAGCTTTGTTACTGAAGCTTGATAAATTATAGTGGAATTCTATGGTATTGATATAGTAATTTATGATTTTTTAGTTATTTAAAATGTATATATTAAAATCTAAAAAAATTATTTCATTTCATATCCTTCACGTGCAAAATTTTAAAAGGCTTAGCAACCTACAACTAGCAGCATCCGAGTACAAAAGTCGTAGCTAGAAGAGATAATTGTTTGCTTTACTTTTTTTATTTAATGATCTATGTTTTATGGAAAATAAGCTTAAGAACTTATTTCTAAATAGTAATAATCTATATACATATAAAATGTATAATAATGGAAATGTGACTGTATTTTACAAAATACTAGTCTACTGAAACACAGCTAAGACAGGTCACTTTGTTTTATATTAGTGGATATGGTAATATTAGAGCACGTGTGCTGTGTCATTGTAACTTCTGTATTGTTAGCCAGGTACAGCTGAAAGGTCAACATAATAAAAATATATATAAATGTATAGTGTTATGAAATTTAAGCTATCTAATCTAAACATTTATGTTTTTGCCTTATATCTTGTTGTCATTCTAGAATAAAAGAGCATAATTTATATTTATTTCCTAATTTTTTTATGGTGGTTATAAGATCAGTCAAATGTACCGAACCCGTACAGAAATCAATTACTGAAAATAACAGATAAAATATAGTTTTTTCTTAAGAAACATTTGATAATTATCTGGACATTATAAAGATTTTGCATGTGAAATTTGAAAAAATTTCTGATGCATAAAAGTATTTTTAATCTTATAATGTAAATTACTTTGCATGTTGGATAGGCAACATGCGAAAAGAAAAAAAAGGCACGAGAAAAACATTGCTTAACAAACCTTAATACTTAATAAAAAATTTATAGCTTGCATACGAAAGCATTGTAACGTTTACTGATAATCTGCCAAATTTCGTTAACATACGCTTACTAAGTTATAGCATAAAAAGTATAACAAACACACAATGGTTTATAAGGTTGGTCCCAGGAACCGAGCCCATGCTGAAAGAGTTAAAAGGGTACAAAGTACTAAAAAAGACAAAGCCTAAGAGACAGAATCAATTAGCATTGAAGTGCTAGTCTTTAATAGGTCTAAACTACTAGTTGCTTGCAGTGACAAAAGAAATGCGCAATGGGTTTCAATAGTGATGAACTTATGTATTCACCAATATGTTATTTGTAATGGGAAGCATAGAAAGACAAGAACTGGAATTTGCTTGAAAAGGGCTAAAGAACAAGATATTATAAAATCATGTTGACAGATTAGTTGCTGGAACAATCTTTTTCTTTTTCTTTGTAGTGCATAAAGGAACAAATGTTGTTGGAAATTGTATATCAGAAGAACTGTTTAATATGATTAGTGGTCCCCTTTGGAGATTTAGGGCTAGAAATGGATATGTGGTCTTTTTAGGAGTACTCAGACTAGATGCAAGAATACATTACTTAACAGAAGCTAATGCATAAACAATACATTATTAGGGATATAATAGAGCAACAGGTGGGCTGGTTAAATCAGTGAGAAAGTTTTCGGGATAAAGGTGAATTATATAATCGAGATGGGCCTTCGATTAAATAGGTTAGGTGAAAGGATGTTCAAGGGATTTTCATATATTCATTAAAGATAGTTTAAACTAAAAACTTGGCAGCTTGGGAAAATGGGACTTGAAAAATTGGAAATAACCAAACTGATATGATAGCTAGGACAAGAAGTTTGGAAAAGGAAGATTCAAAGCATATCAATTTAAATAATAATTTTAAAGACAAATGTTAGATTTAAGGATGACCATAGTTGGTATTATTCTAATATTATGGACATAAGGAAAAAATATTACAAGTTAAGGGCTCTAGTTCAAACAGAAGACTATGATGTAATGGGAATTACTGAAACTTAAATTAGGAGAAGACTGATAACAGGAATTATTCTGAAATTCCAGGCTATAAGTTATTTAAAGAAAAATGGAAGAGGTTGAATCTGTACAGAGACTTCAAGGGTAATAGCAATATTTGACCTTTAGTTGTCTGTAGGAAATAATGGAATTGGCAGACATGAATCATGTAGACATTAAACCTTTGGTGTTAAGTAAAAAGTAAATAAAACAGCAGGACCAGGTATGGTTTTACCCAGTTTTAAAGGCAGTCAAAGATCAGATACATGTATGTCAGCCTCTATCTTTCATTTTTGCTAAATCAGTAGAGAATAAGTAGGTCCTGAAGTTTGGAAAAATGCTTGTGTTACTCCTATTGTTAAAAAGTGTTATAAGAATTACCCTGGAAATTATAGAACTATAAGACTTACTTCTATAGTAAAAAAAGATTCCAGAAAGTTTGATAAAAGCCAACATGTATTCTTCAAAGAGAAATGTTGCCTTACCAATATGTTGTCTTTTTCTGAGGATGTGAGGAAAGTGTGTGGACTTGATACACTTAGATTAAAAAGTGGGGAAATCTAGTTAATTAATTGTGTGGCAGTTTGATGAGAGGAAGCAAAATGTTATTAACAGAGACAAGTCAAACTGGACCACTTTTACTAATGGAGTACCTCGTGAATCAGCCTCAGGCCTTTTCTCTTCATATTTTAGAGGTATAATTAGTAAAGTTTGCTAAACATTAAACTCTTGTTGAGATATTACAGAATAACCCAAGTCAACTAAAAAGTTGGGCAAATATTTGACAAGTGGCCATTAATTATAGTAAATGCAAGGTAATGATTTTGGATTATCATGATTTGGACCACATAGAGGAGAACCAACTAAATAATGTGATTAGAGAAAAGGATCTTGGCACAGTGGTGGATAAGTCATTTAAACCATTAAAACACTATTCTGTGCTAGTACCAAAGCTAATAAAATTTTAGGGTGTACTTATTGACACATTGATTACAAGTCAAAACAGCTAGTTATCTTTCTATGCAAATAATGGTACTGTTCTTTTAAACCCCCACAAATGGTAAGTTTTTACTATATGAATATAATTCATATCTATATATTTTTAAAAGTTATTAAAATTGAGGGGTATAATGGAAAAATACCCAAATCACTAGTCGGGCTTCACTTGAAATCCTGTATACATTTTGATCTCTTTACCTATGAAAAGATATTGACTTATTAGAAAATGTTCAGAGAAAGGCTGCTAGTGCTAGGATGATTCCAGAGGTGGAAGGATTACCTTACAGAATTTGGTTACAATCTATTTCTTTTCTCTTAAGAAAATAAAAGTAAAAGATGATCTTATAAAGTTTAACAAGTTATCCAAGAGATTACTAAGATAAAGGTCTCTGATTTCTTTGTGCTCTAATTCTGAAGACAACAGAATGAAAGGACCAGAGTTTTATAAAATTTGGAAATAAAAGGTTAGGCTCAAGTTAAAACCGTTTTGTAACCCTAACTGGATGATTGGCTTATAAAATGCATTACCATTGGCAGTGACAAAGGCCAGCACTTTACAGAGGGAAATTGATGATTTCTTGAATAATAAAGGGTGGATTTAAATGTTTACTTTTCTCAAAGGTGTGTATGCAAGGATTGCCTAGAAGGGCCAGATGGCCTTTGTTTGTCTGCCTGTTAAGAGGTGATGGCATCTGGTAATAATGGCACCAGTATAATGCAAAAATAGGGAACAAAATTGCACTGTATGTATATATATATGTGACAGCAGTAACAGTACAAATTGTGACAAAATTTTATGACATTAAAATTATAAACATAGTATTTCTTATCCTTTAAGAAGAAACAGTGCATTTTCTCCCCCTTTTTGCATTATTACTAGTGCAATTTTTTTTTCACATTTTGTTATTACAAGGAATTTTCAAGTACTGACCACCTCACTGGGTCAAATGATCTTTTGTCTTTTTTATGTTCAACATTTTGAAAATATCTTAATTCTGATATCACATTGATCATTATCATGAACACTTTTTAATTTCTCTGTTTTTCTTTTCTATTTTGTCTAGCAATGCATTTACTCTGTGATGTGAACTTTAACAATAACATTTCACCCATTATAATTTAAGACATAAAATATAAACAATGTTTTATCCAAGTCAGCTTACAAGAACATGTAATCATCCCTTTTTCTTTAATCTTAATATAACATACAAACTAACTGCCTATCTTTACCCAAGTGATGGCTAATGCTTGGATCAAACCAATACCAAACCTAGCATTGATGAATGACTATTATAATTTATATTTTGTATAAAGACTTGCTGTATTTGTCCTGTTACTTTCTACTATAGACTTACTAAAACAACCTACTGAATTTGTTTTTAATTTCTGATTAAGCCTTTTGACGTAGGATCATTTAACACTACAGCTTATAATCCTAAAATTAAATTCAGTAGGACTATTACTAATAAGGATAGTCTCCCAGATGATTTTTTGGTATATGATAATGTATAGTGAAATTAGCAACATATTTGTAAACACAATCAAATAAGTAGGGTTTTAAGTTTAGATTCTTACCCGCTTTTGCTGCTTTAATAGAGACTGGATTTCCATTTCTACAGCAATGATTCAACCAAGCAACAACATCCCTTTGTGTGTAGCCTGCAACTTTCTGTCCTTGTACTTCCAAAACAATGTCCCCTTCTTCAACAAACCCATCAATATATGTAACCCTATCTTGATCAAGTGGTCCGATGAAAGCAAATTCGCCATTATCTGAACCTCCTTCAATTGATAAGTTTAAGATACCGTCGGGTCCTGTACCTACAAGACTTTCATAAACAGTCTGGCTCCAATGCTGATAGCTTTTCATCTGACCAGACACGGGCAACCCTGTATTTGTTGTCTCCGTCCGCACCGAGTTAGGAGTGACCGGCCGTTTAAGCGCTGGTTTCGACATTATTGAATCGATTCTATCATAGTAAAAACCACACGATAATTCTTCCAAAACATATGGTACATAAACAGTTATCTGGTACGAAATTAGGATGTTTTCCAAAGATGGCCCAAAGAGAAATTGATATATGATATATATAAATATGGTGCAAACTTTAGGCCTATTACCGTGTTCTAACCTACAAGTATAACTTAACGTCACGTTAAAAGCGTTACTCGCTTCGAAGGATGAGAACAACCGACATGGCAGTCAGCTTTAAGCCTAATCTCCCTGGAGTCACAACTCACCGTTGACGCCAGGTTGAGTGCTGAATATATAACATTTAAAAGTATCATATGTTCACCACTTATCATCATCATTATCACTGTATACCACTTCAAAAAATAAACAAAATGTTTCAAATTTTAGTATTAAATACATTTCAACCTGTATCTCTTTGTAAAAATTTGACACAAATTGAAAACATTGGAAACTCACGTTTACTGTCCTGAAATTCAAAAGGCGTTAAATTCGCTACGTACGCAATGCGCATGCGCTTTGCTTTACAACCTCATATTAAAACCTGCAGCCACGCATGATTTCACCAGCAGTACGTCAATGTAACAAGTGTTTGGAAGTGTCAAGGAAATCTTTTTTTGTTGTTGTTTTTTATACTTGCATGTACATTTTGAAACTCTTTATATTGTATGTATTAATTCTTTAAACGTTTGATGAAGTGATTTCGATATTATATGGGGAATAAAATGCTTAATGTTGAATTATATCAAGTTCTTTGCCGTCCGTACGTTTAATTTCGACTAATAAAAGAAAATGAAGTTCAATGCCACAAGGATGGTAATTTGGCGTCTTAGTGTTAGTTTTCACCTGCAGGTTGATTTTTCAGTGTGAATAAATAGGCAAGACAATTAGCAATGAAGTCGTCTGACTACAACTAACTGTAAAAGACAAAACTGTTAAATTAGGTGGTAAAATATTTTTTAATATTCAGTGAAAACCTTCCAAATCATTTATATACGTTCACATTACTAAGTATTAATACTAATAGAGCAAAAGGTGCTTTTTTTTTAGTCATCCGACCAGGATATCGACAATGATGTAGTAGGCAACTATTAAATATGAACTTTTTCACAGCTTATTTACATATTAAGAACTTTTTGAAATTTATCTTGAGTTCCTTTTTCATAAACAGAAAAATCTTTCTAAGTTTCTTGGGAAATTGGCTCTAGATGTTATTCTCTCTATATATGTGATAGAACTCACTCGAGAGTGGTATTTATTATGTTATGAAATGTTTGTGTTGTAGCCATTATCACGCTGTGTGTGTGAAGATATTTTATGACTGTCTTGTCTCATGATGTGGATATATCGCCAAATTCCTAGATTTACATTTGTGATAGGTGAATTATAAAAGCAGATTTGGCGCTTACTGTTGAGGTTCAGTGAGCGTTTCCTTTATTGCTTAACTTGGTAAGCGTTAACTGTAAGGTGGCCGTGGTTTCTTCGGTTTTTAGATTAATAACGCAAAATAAATCCATTTTAGTTTGAACACAGTTTTATTTATACGTAAAATCAATGTATTCGTTTTTCTTTCGTAGCCATTTTTTCAGTTAATTTTGCTTATATATTTTCAATAACTCCTCATGTACACGTTGTTAATAAAGTGTTTGATTTAATTTATTTATACTTCAAACGGTCATGTCCCTTTCATTCGACCCTCCGCAGTGGCACAGCGACATGTCTGCGGACTTACAACGATTGAAACTGGGTTTCGATACCCGTGGTGAGTAGATCCCAGATAGCCCATTGTGTAGCTTTGTGCTTAACTACAAACAAACAAATCATTTCATTCTATTCATTTCATTCTCGAAATCTGAGGGTCGCGGGTTCGAATCGCTGTCCCACCAAACATGCTCGCCCTTTCAGTTGTGGGGGTGTTATAATGTGACGGTCAATCCCACTATTTGTTGGTAAAAGAGTAGCCCAAGAGTTGGCGGTGGGTGGTGATGACTAGCTGCCTTCCCTCTAGTCTTTCACTGCTAAATTAGGGACGGCTGGCGCAGATAGCTCTCGTGTAGCTTTGCGCGAAATTCAAAACAAACTAAAACTTACCTCAATTAAGTTTCTGTGCTGTCTGCAACCATTATTGGCCCGGCAC